GAGTACAGTAACTTGACTCTTAGGAGGCTTGCTAAAACTTTTGAGTTGGTATCACTCCATCTTTTACTATATTTTGTACACAAAAATTCGATGTTTCAATGTCTTTTCAATAAAAGTTTTCTAACTTCAAGCAAGCATATGATTTCCATTAGAATTATCATTCTTAGAAAAAACATTCTTTGTATATGAAAAAGTGCTTAACGTCAAGTGAGCTTGTATAATAAGCATCAGGTGAAGAGTTTGATTATCCTGAGGGACAAATCTGTCGAAAAGAAAATCATCTTAAAAAATGATCTTATTCTGAGGCAGACTTTCTAGTGACTCAATTGGGTAAAAAAATACCATTTAAGAAATGTCAGAAGCAGATTACTTGAGATCTTGATGTTTCTGTGGAAGCTTTGGTTGCCCAGAAGTCTCCATTGACCAATGGGGCATCACTTTCAGCTGGTCTTAAGGGACAAATTATTTCAAGTTGTTGTTTGAGAATGAAGCAGCTCAAATTGAGAAGTACAGTTAGGTATTAGCCTACTTTCAGGTCGTAAGTCAACCACCCTAAGGGTATATTATAATCCAAGACTCTGTTGAGCAGAGGCAATTATTTTCAATGGTAGTATTTTGTTGAACAAATGTAAAGTATCAGAATCTCATTATTTTAAGGGGAAGAAGCATGCGAATACTCTGTTGAGTAAGAGTTCAGTCAATCTGAAGCTATCATGTCGATAAATCTCTTTAAGATATGATAAATCTTAGGCTATCACGTCGATAAATCTCTTCGAGCTTCAAATCAAGGGTGATCACGTCGAGAAATATTTCAAAATTCATTCAACCTAGGGAAATCATGTCGAGATTCGACAAATCTCTCCAAGAAATATGTAATCAGAGACAATTTATTTCGTGACGCAAGACATTAGGGTAGGCCACCTCATATCATATTGTGGCATGGATGTTCCAGTCTTCTGTTCAACACAAATTCTTTCAGAGATCCTACAGACAGGGGCATTCCTCATCCATACTCACAAAGCTACTCAAGCAAGTTCCGTCCTACAAGGTAACTGCTGAAGAAATCGAGCTAAAAACACTATGGAGGTAACCTTGACCCAACCATCATTGCAAAAGTTGTCCTCATCCCCTACATATATTCAAAGTGTACTCTCCGGCAATAGATTAAATTGGAGCATATAAGGTTTTTATGCGACTCAGCGCATGTTTTCAGCATAATTCCCTAACAGTAGGAAAACTTGGGGCACTCAGAGTTTTCATGCGATTCATCACGTGTATATGCAATTCCAAAGTAGAGAAAACTTGGAGAATTTGAAAGGTCTCACGAGGTTCAGTATGTAATCCCCTCAGAGTTGTCTTCTAATCTCCAACAGAAAAGTAAACTGGGGCATTCAAAGATGTCTGTGTCCATCTCCTGACCCCCCAAGAAGTCTAAGATGTAATTCCCCATCGTGAGGCAGACTCAGGGCATTCTAATAGATCCATATGATGTTCAACATCCATTCCTCAACATGTATCTTACCATACCCAAGAAATCCAGGATGTAGAGAAGTCAGACCAAGTCACTTCCTCCCCAACAACTTACAATTCAATCCCCAGTAAAGTTACCAATGATCTTTCATACTACAAAATTTCCAGCACCAATCAATATTGGTATCTCAAGATAACGAGAAACGGTTCTCAATGAGCCTGTTCTTATCCCTACATATTTTATTTCTCTGCACTTTGCATATAGTTGTCACTGCATAACATTACATCCTTAAATGCGTAGCATATTCATTGAAATGGATTATTAAGCCATACAAAATTCAAACATGAATACGAAGCATAAGCCGGATTTGGTACCTTGCACGAAATCTCAAATCATTCTTCCACTAAAACAATGGTAAATCACCAACTAAAGCCCTTTACTGCATCACAATCCTCAGTTAACAGTGTCAGTACCATGTACTCCCCAACCTCAGAGTTAACGATAATCGCACCTCCCAACCTCAGAGTTGAGGATAATAAAACCGTTATTCCACCAACCTCAGAGTTGATGTCAATTTTATTTTCCAGTCTCAGTACTGATGTCAATCTATTTCTTTACCCAATCTCAGTACTGATGTACATCCCTTCTCCGGTCTTAGTACTGACGTTAATCCTTTCTCCAGTCTCAGTACTAACATTAATATTTTCTCCAGCCTCAGTACTAATGTTAATCCTTTCTCAAGTCTCAATACTAACGTTAATCTTTTCTCTAGTATCAGTAATGATGTCAATCCTTTATCCAGTCTCAGTAATGATGTCAATCCTTTCTCCAGTCTCAGTATCGACGTTAATCTTTTCTCCAGTCTTAGTACCGATGTTAATCCTTTCTCTAGTCTCAGTACTGGTGTCAATCCTTTCTTCAGTCTCAGTACTGATGTCAATCCTTTCTCCAGTCTCAGTACTGACGTTAATCTTTTCTCCAGTCTTAGTTTTGATGTCAATCCTTTCTCCAGTCTAAGTACTAACATTAATCCTTTCACCAGTCTCAATATTGATGTCAATCCTTCCTCCAGTATCAATACTAATGTTAATCCTTGCTTCAGTCTCAGTACTAATGTTTATCACTTGATAATACAGTTCTCGATTCTTGCTTGATAGTCAGTTCTCGTCTGACCGTTAATTCAAAGTCTAATTCTCGCCCGATAGTTCAGTTCCCATTTGACAATCAATTCAAAACCCAGTTCACGACTGGTAGTCAATTTTTGATCAAACCCAATTCTCGTATGGTAGTCAGTTCTCATTTGTCATTATTTCCGTGGTCTTAGATTGCATTGTCATCAATCTTGACTTTTCTCCTTTCTGTTGGTTAGGTCACATATCACATTGTAATCGATCTTTATGTGGTCACAGACCGCGTTGTCATCGGTCTTGAGTTTCATCCCTTTCTGTTGGTTAGGTCACATTGTAATCGATCTTTCCATGTTCGTTGACACTATTTTTCCAACCATATCCCGTGAGAACATCATATTGGTACCGTTATCATGTTACAAGCCACTGCCATTCAACCACACTTACGCTCATCTTAAACCTTTCACCAGAAAACAAAATTTTCTTTCCCCAACAGATATCACAAAAAACAATAACTCATATCATCTCTTCAAGACAAATTTTTGGCATTGATATTTAACCGTCTTCCACCTCGAATGTTCGAAAGGCTTGTGCCAATCACACATCCATGTTTAAGACGATTAAATAGGGGCAAGTGTCATACCCTAAATTTGTCATACCTGTTTATAAGGATCGTATAGCTTATGCATATCCTTAAACAGGTCATCTAGAATCACATGCATCATTAATCAGTAAGTGGTCATGAGATCAAGGTATTTCTTTACATAAGCTATACAAAAGAGATTGTTCTGTTGGGCAGAAGCAATAGGGCAAAACTCTGGTTTTTCAGGGCTTAAATGTGTTTCACACGTTTCGTAAGCAATCAATCCAATGAGCTATCAAATCAATAATCAATCAATCCATCATCTTGTCAAGCTCTCATGTATTTTGGCACACTCTGAGTTATGGAGAAATCAGGCGTTTCGGTGAATTTGAGACAGTGTGAACCAAAAATAGTGTTTTTGCTGGTTTGAGCTTAGAAATTCGCAACTTGTAATCAGGATACTATTTTAAGTTGATTCCTCGTGCATTAGAACCGTCTCGGTATTTTCTTTATTTCATCAGTTCAGACTGAAAGTCAATTATGTGAAGAAAGTCTCTGAATAATTTGATTTTCCTGAAACGGTACTTGATTTTAATGACTGGTTATCTATTTCTGGGCATTTGGAAATTTGTAACTTTCATCCGATTCAGTATTTTCAGTTGATTCTTCGAGCATTGAGACCGTCTTGATTTTCTTATCATTTCTGATGTTCGTATCAAAGGCTAATTTTGTGAAGAAGATCTCTGGGAATTTTAATTCTTTGAAGACATTATACTGAATTTAATTGCTGGTTTGATATTGTGCGAGCACTTAAAAATTCATAACTTATGATTGGAACACTGTTTTAGAGCGATTCTTGAGACATTAAAACTGTCTTAATATCTCATTCAATTCATAAGTTTGAATCGAGAGCAAATTCTTTGAGGAAGATCTCCGAACGTGAGGATACTTTGAGAAGAAACAGTGGAAATACGGTGAAAATACTTTGCTAAACCGTTATTTTCCGGACCTTTGAAAATTCATAACTTTTACCCGGTGCATTTTTTTGAGTTGTTCTTTGGGCGAAAAATCCACCTTGATGCCATCTTCATTTCGTATGTTCAGGCCGAGGAACAATTCATTGAGGAAAGTCCCCGAAATTATGAATTACTAGAGAAATTTATTGTGTTGAACCAAAATTTTATTTTACCGATTCTCGGTATTGTAAAATACACTACTTCTTCGATTTTAATTGTATCGGGGCGATTCTTTTGGAACAATTTCAAAAATGATGTCATCTACAAATTCTCTTCAAATCCCGAGTTCGAATTTTGATCGAAGGATTTTCTTTTGTGGCATATTTTCAGAACTGAACGGTAAAATTGACAGAGAAAATCTGCATTAGCTGAATTGGCTCTACATCTGCGAATCTTCGAAAATTCCCAACTTTCTCGTCTTTAATTCGATTGAGTCAATTCTTTCGACATCGTGTCACAAATTTTGCAATCTTCAATTTTGTTGTCGTGCCTTATTTCGAATGTTGCATGAATATCGAGGTCCTTGTGACGCATACGTTTTGACACTGAGCAACTCGATTTGGGCCCAAATTAGACCCAATGCAAATTAGGCCCAATCATAACATTATATACCAATTTGTTCTCCCCCAATTTAACGATTTTTTTTCATTTTGTTTGGTTTTCACCTTTTATTCATACTCTCAATCCTCTCTTTTCTCTCACTATTCAAAATCTTAAAAACTCTCTACAAACAAAAAACACACCAAACTTCGTTTTCTCCTTCAAGTTCCCGCAAGCACTTCCAACTAAACCACCACCAGAAAATGTTCCATTCCGGTCAGCGCCACTGCCACCTCATTCCACCGACGATCTCAACACCATCACCTTCCTTCCGACTTCTCGCGGTTTGTGAGCATCATCACCGCCACGGCAAGCTGTTCGTTGTGTTTTCTTCTCCCGCCAACTCTGACTCAGCGATGTTCCAACGATGCTCCTCCCTCTCTTCTGATAGCGCTCCGGCCAATACCATCTCCTTTTGGCTTCACCTTGATTCCAGTACTTTTCTCGATCTACACTTGAATTAGATTCTTGTTTGCATATTTTGTTTAATTGAAATTGTGAAACATTTGTTCATAAGGTGATGATGATAATTAGGAATGGAATTGTGTTAAATATTCATAAGTTAGGTTGAACTTTGGATTGTTGAATAGAACAAAGTTTTGATTTCATGAGTTACTTTGACATTGAATTGAATATTGGAGTGTGATTCTTGAAGTTGAACTGTTAAACAATTATATGATTCTTGAATTGTGTTGAACTTGGTTCTTGAAAATTCATGAGATATTTGAATTATTGAATATGCATAAGTCTTGATTTCTTGAACAGTGTAAAAATGATGAAAAGATGCATAGGTTTATTGATGAGCATCTTTGTTTTAGAACAAGATTCTAGAGTATAAGCGTTAGATTCACGTTAATTCTTGGCCGTTGGTATCAAATCATGGTGAATTGGTGAATTTGATGTTGAATCCGGATACTTTTTTTTGATAACTTTTGGATGTCGAATTTTACCGAAACTCATGAATACCTTGTCAATTGAATTTCAAAAATTGTTTGATGTCTGTTGTACTCCAATTTTTGCCCCTAAGATCCATTTGTCATATCATGTTGATTCAATCACAACAAGATCACATTAGGGCTTTTGGTTTTTCTCCCCATCTTTAATTTTGCTCTTTGAGGAATCACCAAGCACATTGACTTGTTTTATTTTGTGATCATGAATATTTTGTCTTATTTTTTTCCTTTGAATTAATAAAATGCAATGTTGGTTTGTCTTGCTTGTTACTAATGTAGGTAAAGACAATAAGGCTTAGCAAGTTGTTTCATGGGTTCATGAATTTATTTCCATGCCCTAGTCAATAAAGCTAGAGAAGTTCAAACCTCACCATTGGGGTTGTTTTAGAAGAAATGGCATGGCAAAGTTATTTTGGTTCACCACATTTCAATATTATCAAATTTGGTTCAAAAATACAAGGGGTTGATTGGAGAAGTTGTAATGCTTGGAAGAGGCTTTGTTCCCATTGGTCACAAATGCATATTTCTCTAAATTCTCAAGATATGAAAGTGGTTTTGGTGACTATGAGTTCTCATTTTCATCCTCAACAACTTCTATTTACAAATCATTTATGTTGGTATAAGAAGTTTGCTCAAAATTGTCAAAGTTCCTCAAGGCATTTTCTTGATCTAGGAGCTAGGGGTTTGAACTTTAAAGAAGCATATCTTGCTCATCTTTTGGTATTTTTGAGTGATTCCAAAGCAATCATTATCTTCAAATGGTTATCAATAAATCACTTCAAAAGTTTCAATGAGTTTTCATGTGGAAGAAGCTTGATGATGAAGAAAGATTACAAGTCCTCTAGATGAACCCCTAATTTCTCATGTGTGATTTCAAATGATCATAACTTGGTCAATTTTTATCACCTTGAGCCCACTCTTTTTCCATAATGAACTTGAAAAAGTGAGTTTTATGCATTCTTTTATGTGCAAAGTGAGAAAATGGATGGAAGATGCCCTAAGGATACAAAAGATTATAGGTCATTTCATGATTTTTTGCCAACTTCAACAAATCATAACTCTCTTAATTTTTGGATATTTTGAATGGTTCAAGTTTAAAAATATCATTCAAAGGGTCTATTTCATGCCATCTTTTTTGGTCAAGAGCAAATTCCAAGTGGAAGGCCATGTTTGGATGCAAAACATTATAGGTCACTTTTAGAGAAAAATTTGAAATATTTCTAAGTATGGAAAGTCAACCGTTTTTCTCAAACTTTGACTCAATGCAACTTCTTGCTCAAACATCCATTTGTTCTCATTCATTTCACATTGAAAAGCTTGTGACTTCATCTTTCACATGCTTCAAGAATCACATCATAAGGTGCCCTACATTGTTGGCACCATGGTTATAAAAGTGGCATAATGAAATGGAAATTCCAAGTTCAGTCAGATTTGAAAATTAGTTTAAATCCAATTACAAGCCTGTTTAAAGATCAATTTCGTGTCTAATCATGTTTAGGAACTTTCCATAACAAGAAACGGCCCTTAAACCTTCCAATTTGCTGCATTTTGAGCCATGTGAAGTCTCAATTTTCACATTTAGCAGGTCCACACGATTTCACTCATTTTGCCTCCAATTCACACGCTTGAGCCTTACATCATAATCAGCTATAAATAAGGATCATCCCTCACTGTTTTTTTCAAGCTTTTGATAGCCAATTGACCCCTGTTCAGATCCCACATGAACTCTGAATTTTGAATTCTGATTTCTTACATTCTCACCTTAAAACACCAAAAGCTCCATTCAGTTAGCTTTATTGAACTTCTCTGAAGCTAACCATACGATTACTTTTAAGAATTGTGACCAATATTGATCTGTGGAAGTTCAGTTTCAAAGCAATTTCTCACTTCTTTGTTCAGGTAGATTTCTTGGCCAAATTGATTCAAATAAAAGACTAACCCCCACCTTGTGTTCTTCTGATCCTCGTGCTCTTTATAGTTTGCAATTTCATTGAGAACTGAGCAAGATATCCCAGATTTTCGTGCTCGTTATTTTTTTTTGTTTTTTTTCAAACACAGCCTTGCATAATTTATCTAAATTTGGCGCGATGGTACCATTAGAATCGTCTTGAAGAGACGAATTTAATGGTACCGACCTGATTTGCTAATTTTATAGTTTGGAAAATTCAATTTGGGGATGGTTGGAGGTTGAAGACGATGACATGTCCCTCTTCAACCAATGACATGAAGCGACATTATTTTTTGAAATGGATAAAATATGCTTGCATTACAATGCGCATGCCTCAGGAACCCTTGGATCTGATTAATTTTGTGAGTCAGACTTCATCCAACGCGCCATATTTTAAGCTGTTTTATTTTAAAAATGTTGGATCCGATGTGATATTTAGTAATGACCATGATATGCACAGCGCGTCAGATCCCTTGGATCTGATTACTAACGCGTTTTGACTCTCATCCATTGGTCCACATCTTTTTGGTTTTTATTTTCTTTTCTGATTTTTATATTTAATTGTTTGAAATTTCAAAAAAATCATAGAAAATTCATTTTTAATCCAAAAAATCTAAAAAATCATGAAAAATATTTTTGATGATTCTCTTTTTGATTTTTATTTTTTCACAATTTAATTTTGTGTTTTGGTATTTTTTTTAAATAAATTTTCACTTTATTTGAATTGTTTTAAATGTTCAAAAATATTTTTATACATTTTTAAATTCTGAAAAAATTATGAAATGATCCAATGACATTGTGACAAATATAGGTAACCTCATTTTATTTTTGTTTCTGACTTTGTTATTTTTTAAATCATTTTTGGTTTATTTTACTCACTTCTTTTAATTTTAAAAATAGTTTCTGACTTTAAAAAATTACCAAAATTTTTATAAAAATATTTGAGTCGTTTTTTGATTTTTCTATGGTCTTACTTTTTATTTCTTGATTAATTTGAACATAGTTGATATTTTTATCCCTTATTTCTATTTTAAAACATTTTTAAAACCCTTTAAATGTATATATTAAATGCAATATTATTTTGTGATTATTTTCTGGTTGATCTTGGGTTAAATTTTTGATCGTGGATTTTATTAACCTCATTGGATCCATGGTGTTGAGTCTAACTCCGCAAAAATGGATGAATGATTTTAATAATAGTTTGATTAAAATTTAATTCAAATGTGGTTTGTATATTCTTCCCCACCCCTCTCCATCTCATCCCTTTCTTATTACACTAAGTTTTATTGGAGCATGACCTCTATATCATGTCTCAAAACAAATGGTGCATAGATTGCTATTGACCGACCTCAAAATAGATGCGACTTCTATATAAGTCCACTTACGATTGCTTAATATAGTGCTAAATTTTGTCCCGATTCGAATAAATGATCATTCTTGGACCAACCTATATTTGCAAACCCAAGTATGTTAATTTGATCTCTTTGATCTAATAACCTTGAGATTCATTGTATGGAGACTTTGGTTCTACCAATCCTCTAATGGATCTACAACACTTTTGGTCAATGCGGATCACTTAAACATTGTTGATCATTAAATGGAACTTGGGAGAATTCCAAATGGTTGATATACTTGACAAAAAGCAAATGCAACTTGTTGTGTGGAGGCTTTGGTTCTACCAATCCTATAATGAGTTTCAAATGCAAGTTTCAAGATGATCATCCAACTAACCACTAATCACTAATAATTGACTTTATCTTTTGTTTTTACTTTATGCTCTTTTATTTTTTTATGCTTTATGCACCATTTACTTTTAACATTTATATTTCATGATATCTTCATCTTTGCTCACTTGAGCCTTTTCTTTTCTCTTCTAAGACACCTAATAATCAACATAAACCATAAAAAAACTTTAATGGTACTTGGACTATTTGGTTACTATCCTTGGCATTATGGAGTATTGGACTTCTTGCACTTAGGATTAGAAACCTTGGCCTATGTTGGAGACCTTGTGACCTTAATTTGTATTTTGTCTGGAGTTCTTGAGGTTTACCTCAAGACATTGAGTTGTTTGTTTATTTTATGTGCAGGTTATTGTGATTACATTCTTTGTTTGTAATATGAAATTCACCCGTATGCAGCCGTTACTCTGCCCAATTTTTTGTGAAGACTTAATACACTTGAAGTTTGATTTTCACAAGAGGTCTAGTATCTTTGCTTGCTTGGTTTCAATCCAAAATATGGGAATTCTATCTTGGCTCATAATGTCAAGTATTGGTTTTTTATAGGTTAGATGGTTCTTATACCTAGCTTTTACCTTATGCCTTTAGGATTGTCTCTTCTTCTTCTCCCATCTTCTTTAATTTCAAAAAACTTCTCTATCCTTTTGAAAACTCTTCTTGTTTTTTAACTTGAACCACTTTCATAATAAACTTGGACTTATGTCCATGCATTTTCAAAAATATTTTCATAAATAAACTTCAATCAACTTAACAATACCTTGGACTTTTTTGTGAGAAGACTAAAAGTCAATCAATCTCATTTCAAACCATTTTGCCACTTTGGCTCTTTTATTTTTAAACTTTTCTCAAAAAAGATTAGACTCTTGTCAATCCTTGTCGTGATGCAAACAACTATACTTCTACAATATGTAGTAAAGAGGGATGTTTTCCACTTGGGTGTTGAGTGAGGAATTGTTGATTTTAAAGTCCAAGCCATATCCTCCAATTTGAGATGATGCAAATTCTCCTTTCTCATGATTGTAGGTAGTAAGTATGTTTTCCACACGGACAATGACAATGATGTCTTATCTCATAAAATTAACCAACACACTTGTGTTTTAAACTTTTTAAAGAGGAACTACGTGTACCCTGATCCCCTATTACACGGAAGGTGGTACGTAGGCATTAAAGGTTCGCAACTGCGGCAGGTGCAAAAATCATAAAAAATATATTTCTTTTCTCACCTCCACCATCTATTTTTATACAATATTTTTTATAGCGAAAATATACAGATTTTACAAAGAGGTTCCTGTGGAGTACTGTAGATGTTTAGGGTGCTAATACCTTCCCTTTGCATAACCAACCCCCTTACCTTGAATCTTTCCCCCTCTTTTTTGGGTTATTCACTCTTTTCCCATTCCTTTGGAAACAATAAACATGGTGGCGATTTTTATTTTGATCTGTATAAGTCTAGTCAAATGGATTATTCTTAAACATTTCTACCGCTACAGAAAAATGGAGACTTCACTGGGGAAAGATTGACCTCTTGCTGGTCCATCCCTAAGTGGATTGAGCCTATCTTATTTTATATCTGTGTATATGCTATTATTGTTTATGTGTTATATGTTGT